TAAAACATTACATTCAGTTTGCACTTATAAAACATGTTATTTCTGTAATAAGTACTCTTTTAAAGCATGCTAAAGGGTGCTTCTTTTTCACAAGGGTAGGCTTCGTGTGGCTGCACATGTCATACATCTATCATGAAGGGAATAGTTTCAGAAGGTGTCGACTACGAATACACATGGGTTGATTTTCACGTCGGTTTGCCGTGTTCGTGCACAGAACCCTTGGCAGACACAAAACAATGCGATTACGTGAGGAAGGATATTTCTTGAGTGCTGAGACGTCCGTGTGATGGCTAAACAGATGTGCGACTCTGAACAACAACGGCTGTTTCTCTGCGCTCCAGTGTGCATTCCTGTCCACTGTGTCTGGCGAGCGCATGAGTCATTATGCTGGATTTTGGCATGACAGGCAAAGACTTGGAGGAGGAGGAGGAGGAGGAGGATGAGGGGTGGGAGAGCAAACAGTCCGAGACCGTCGTGTGTGCAACGACACGGAGATGTGCCAACCCGAGCCTGTCAGTGTTTGTGCTTTTCTCACCGCACATATAGGACACAGCGGAAGAGAAAATGACACCGCAACAGTAATTGGTAACAGCCTACAGTATGCTTTTTAAATGATTCATTTCCTGCAGCACGCTTCATCATATTGAGATGAAGCAGTGCCTTTCGAAGTGTTTCTCCAGCAGGCAAAGGGAAAACATCTGGCTGTACAAATTCACATCATGTGTGTTCACCCTCATATCTGGTGTGAATTTAACCATTGTTGTTGTTGTTGTTGTCAAAAAACCTATGCCATCTGCTTTTTCTTCTCGAAAAGACACAGAGAGACAAGACCAGACAGAATGAACAGGCAGAATGAACTACATAACCCATCATGCATATAGTAAAAGATGTAATGGAATGTTGACTTGTATATTTGCTGATTATCATAACAACACGTTTTAGGTTTACAGCAACATATTAAAGTTATTATTATAAAGTATTATATATTATAAACACTGCACAGCAGTAAATCACTGTGGTGCGTGTAATGTAGCACTGTGAACATGTAACAAAACACATGTATTTCATATGCCCTTCTGTACCTCCGCTGCGTGATTGTGCCGTTGTGATTTAATATGCTGAGTAACGTCATTTATATTTATGTCATCGATATGGCTTCGAGATATTAAACGTAATTCTTCCGTCCAGCTGTTAATGTAACTGTAATCTGTTACAGTTATTGAGAAAAAAAAAAGTGTAATTCAATTACAGTTACTTATGAAAACGTTAACGACTACAAAGGCGGTCTGAATATTTTTGATCTGAGTTTGATTTATTTCCCAAATTGCATTGACTGCTCTAAAGTATTAGACGCCAATATTTGTAGGAGTTTAGGACACAGAATAGGAAACATGTTTATTTGATAACTGTTTTATTTTCGATTTGGCTTTATGTATATGTTTTTTGTTTTTTAGATTAACTGTTTTTTTTCCAAGGCATTGTTAGATGCCAGTGTTTCCTGTCACAGCTATATGCAAAGATTTGATTTCAAAAATAGCATCACAGCTATTAAACCATATCGTGTTATGATTTTAAATCTGTATTTAACCTCAGAACTATCTCAAAGTAAAACGGGGTGCTAAAGTCAGATTTTGTGGTGGCTGTGCTTTAAAATTAAATTACAAGTGATGAAGGATTCTGAAAGTCTGACAGTAATCAGTGTAGAACACTATTGTAAGGTTAACCCTGCCTAGTTTAAATGTTTCAACATGATCAGCAGTTGAAAACATTCATTCGAAATTTAGAAAAGAAATGAAAAAGAAATCAAATATAATCAGTTTGAAATAATATACTACATTTTAAATGGAGTATCTTGTCATTTGTAACTGATTACATTTCCAAAGTAACTTTCCCCAACACTGGTCTTTTCCTCCCATTTCTACCATGATTCAACTTCCCACGTCTACTACCTGTGCAGATAGCAACAGCGCAACTGGGTTGTAGGTTGCCAGGTTGAGGTCACAAATGGGATGAAATTTGTATGATGTGTCGATTGTGTGAGTAGGCTGGGTTTCCTACAAGATCTGGCAACTAGACAAACTTGGAATAATAATTGATGTGCTTTTAACAAGGTTTGGGCCATACACATTACGAGGGTTTCCTGGGAGAAATAACAAAACGGGAGGGGGGCGGGAGATGGGTGTGAAATATGGGAGACTCCCGGGAAAAACGGAAAAAAAAAAAATACAAATAAAGAAATAAAAAACGTTGTCCTTTTAACCTTCTGGCAACGAATGGATCAGTTTCTGTGGAGATCTAGCAACTTGCTTAATTCTTGAATAAATCAGCATTTGAATTGTTTTATGTTATTGCTATTTATTTTATTTTATTTTTGAACTAATTCGTTGAATGAACGAGTCAATGACTGAATAAAGACAGACACCTAGTGGTGTAACGATGTAACTGCAGAACAATACCCTGCCACAAATACACAAACTCTCTCTCTCTCTCTGTCTGTCTGTCTGTCTCTCGCTCTCTCTCTCACACACACACACACACACACAGGTTTGTTTTTATGGTTTACGTGGACTCTCCAGAGGCGTAATGGTTTTTATACTGTGCAGACCGTATATTCTATTGCCCTTTACCAACCCTACCCCTAAACCTACCCCTCACAGGAACCTTTCTGCATTTTTAGATTTTCAAAAAAACTCATTCTGAATTATTTATAAGCCTTTTGAATTACAACGACACTGAAAATGTCCTCATAAATCACCTTCTCATACCCATGTTATTATACAAATTTGTGTCCTCATAAACCACATAAACATGCACACACACACACACACACACACACACTAAGATTAACACGTTAAATGCATGCAAAGAGATCTGCTTCCATCTAGCGGTGAAGTATAATACTGCAGAGATCATTATCATACACATACTTCTTTTCCCTTCTTTCATGCATGCAATTGTAATAAAGCGTAAATTAAACATTTTATGAAACATCTAAATATATGTCTTTACTATCATATTAAGCATTTTATTTCACCAAATCATTGTCATTCTGTGATTATTTTCGTGCATTTATATATAATAGGATATGTTTAATATCATGTAAACTCTCAGTCTCACACACCATTTTTCTGATCATGTTTTCAATATGCAACCCCAAGGTCTTTATGCTCCCGGGGGTCTTCGTGCATTTCGGATCCACCCATGTGTTTCCAGTAGCTGCAGCAGCAGCAGTCTACATGCGCCACTGAAATAGCTTTGCGCATCACGCGCGACAGCAGCAGCCGCTCATCTGATTCGTTCCTGCGCACATCAGCGCACAGACACGGAACCGGACTGCTCTCGCAGCAGCCAACGAATCTCACCGGGGGCGGGAGTTACGCAGAGAATCACCCGCCGTTATGACGTCACCCCCGCAGTGTCGCGCGCCTCGTCACATCAAGCAAAAGCTACTGTTGAACTGAAGGTAGGACATCATGTAACGCTCAATGCGGAACCATGCACGAATGTTTTGAGCATGCATTTATGACCGTGCTTTCATTTTTGATGTCGTGCATGCATTAGATAAGAATGACGAGACTGTGATCGCAGTGTTTTGAAGCTTTGGGCCTGTAAATCAACTGATTTACATTATGCAACTATGTAATCACATATAATCAGAATGTATATGATGAGTTACATTAGTGGGACTTTAAAGGATGCATGCATTAAACTGATAAAATAAATGACAATGTGTGATCCAGAAACGTGGTGATTTTGTAGTTAGCCATCTGGCTACCAAAACAAACACAAATCAGACTGGTGTTTTTTTTTTTTATTAAGCTCATAAATGCCATATTGTTTTGAAATGTATGTATTTTTTGAGTATGAATGTATCATCATTAGGTGTGAATGCATCAGTAGGTGTGGTAGGATAGTCAATAAATACAGAATCAGCTTTAATGCATGTCATCAGACTGCTTTTATAATGACGTGACATTTTCCCATGGTTTCCTTGAGCCATTGTTCTGGACTTTACTAGCATCCATGTTAATGGACAATCCACTTTTATTTTCTAATTTTGCTTAAATATTGTGTATGGATAACTTTATTTAATATCATTTGAGTGCATACTTTTTTGTATGCATCTTATTTGGCTTTATTGAATTAGCATGTTATATCGGCCTTTTGCCAGAGTCTTTATATTGATGTAAGTATTGGCCCCCCCCAAAAAAACAAACAAACAAAAAAAAAAACCATGGGCCGTCCAATAATAATGATTGATTTGGGGGCAAATGTCCACACTGTACCTGGAAATAGTACAGTTGACTCAAAGTGTTGTTTTTATAACACTACTAAGAATTCACGCCCTCCTTCTTCGTCTTCTTCTTATTATTATATGTATATTATTGTACATTACAAACATAATATGTCTTAATTTCTTCACTTTCACCTTGCATCTCCATTAAATCTGCATATCATCACTAGGGTTGTAACGATTCACTCAGCTCGTGATTCGATTCGATTCACAGTGATTTTTTAACAAAATGAGATTGAAAAGGTGTCGTTTTATTAGGCTATCGCTGCACGTTTCTTTGTGAAATTAAAATATAACAAAACTATATTGAAATTTTAAAACAAAGTTACACAGATAAAAGATATATCTTAATATGAACAAACTAAGGCTTTGTCTGTGCTCTTTCCATTTTAAATTAGAGGCAACCACTGGATTTTAACCATGATCCAAACAAAGATGCAGCATGAGTAGTTGTTTATCTAAATTAGACTGTATAATTTCTGACTTTAGTTTTGTGAAACTACACTATATAAAACATATCTGAATGAAATGGCAGACGAGCTGAATGAAACGCAGATTCACTTTCTGACAGCAGGTGGCGCTTATGAACAGCAATGATACAGTGTTTCCTGAGATACCGCTGTAAACAAAGCATAGCTGCGCTTATGAACACTGCTTTAAAGGGTTACTCCACCCCAAAATGAAAATTTTGTCATTAATCACTTACCCCCATGTCGTTCCAAACCCGTAGAACCTTCGACAAAGAAGAGCGAATGCTGCTTGCGCCAGCGGATATACTCCAAAATGGCGCTACGCTGAACCATAGACGAATTGTTGAATAAAGTCGTTGTTTTGTTTTCTTTGCGCAGAAAAAGTATTCTCGTTGTTTCATTAAATTCAGATTGAACCACTGATGGCAGATGGACTACTCTGGCGATGCTTTTCATACTTTTTTGGGCATTGACAGTAGGGCTGCACGATAAATCGCATGCAATATTTAACGCGCATCTTATCAGTAAAGCCGGTTCTGTAATCAGCGGTAAATCTCCATCACGTGCGGGCTTTCACATGAAGCAGCTTTAACTACACAGAGCCGTTGTTCACTGACAAGCTGCGCAAAACATGCGCAAAATATGATTGTGGTTTTGTGCAGCTTGTCAGTGAACAACGGCTCTGTGTAGTTAATGCTGCTCAATGTGAAAGCCCGCACGTGATGGAGATTTACCGCTGATCATGCAGCCCTAATTGACAGTGATATTTACTTGGCAGTCAATGGGACAGTCACAAACCTCCCAGTTTTCATCCAAAATATCTTAAATTGTGTTCCGAAGATGAACAAAGCTTTTACGGGTTTGGAACAACATGGTGGGTAAGTGATTAATGACAAAATTTTCATTTTGGGTGGAGTAACCCTTTAATATGCTGTTCAGAGGCAAGATGAAAAGAAAATACCACATAAACTTTTCTAAAGATAGTCAGTTCCCCTCAGAGATACATTCATATAAACTCCTACTCCAATTGTATCGCGATTTGTTTGGCATCTCAACTGATCTGAATCGTCACATATTTGAATCGATTTTCGACAAATCAGGTGATATGCTCTGTCCACAAAATTGTTTCAAGTTATACAAATGGGGACAATAAAGTGGACCAAGTGCTCTTAGCGTTTTTGACACGTTATAAGCAAACTGCAAACAATTTTGACCAGTATCAAATGTGTTTTTTTAGCTTGTTTACTATAACCTAATGTAATACACATCAAACACATAGACATGACTTTTCTCCTCCCTTGTAGGCACCATGGCCACACCAACGTCTCTAGATCCAGATTTGGTTCGGGAGGTGCTGGAATGCCCCATTTGTCTGGAGATGTACAACCAGGATCAGCTTCGACCCAAACTACTGCAGTGCGGTCACTCAGTTTGTCGTCAATGCCTTGAGAAACTCCTCGCCAGCACGATAAATGGCGTGCGCTGCCCCTTCTGCAGCAAGGTGTCTCGTATGAGCAGTATTTCCCAGCTGGCTGACAATCTCACCGTGTTGAAGATCATTGACTGTGCGAGTTCATGCAACTCTACCATGGGTCTCATGTGCAAATCTTGTAAAAACCGCCTGCCCCGGCAGTACTGCAGTGACTGCAGCATCGTGTTGTGTGATATTTGTAAAAACGAGGGCCACCAGTGTCAGGGTCACGTCGTACAGGCCATTCGCGTGGCTGCCGAACAGTGCCGGAAGGACATCAGCGGGAAGATTTCTAACTTGCGGGAGGCAATGGGAAACATTCAGAAGAAGAAGGCAACTATTGACAATGTGACAAAATCACTCAGACTGAAGTACAAGGCTGTACAGCAGGAATACGCCAAGGCTGAGTTGCGACTCCAAGAGGAACTTGGCCGCTCACGCCGTGCCTTTGCCACCTCCTTGGCCGAAATAGAGAAACTCAATGCCCAGATTCTGGAGGAGCAGATGTACCTGCTCAATATCGCTGAAGTGCAGGTGGTGTCAAGATGTGACTATCTTACCATGAGGATCAAGCAGACGGATATTGCTCTACTGGAAGAAGGGAGCAACCATGAAGAAGAAGAGTTGGACTTAAAAACTAATTTGCCTGTCATTCTGAAACTACAAGACCCTGAATTTGTTAAAACGGAGTGCTCGAAACCTTTGGACTTGGGGCAGCTAACCACAAAACCCTGCATTGTCAATGCCGGGGAAGAAGACGGACTTGATTTCACCACTTCCGCTGCCACCCCATTGGACATTTACCATGATACTGACATGGATACGGCAGTTGAAGAGGCTGTTTGCGCTTCTCCCGGTAGCTTCAAGTCCAAGTCTGTCGACGGTGGTAGACCTTCTCCAGGAGCTTCTGGTGGGCAACTCTGTCAGTTTGTGAAAAAGATGGGCTGCAAGGGCAATCTGCCGGGCATGTTCAACTTGCCGGTAAGTATTTGCGTCACGCCGCAGGGCGAGGTGCTTGTGGCCGACCGAGGAAATTACCGCATCCAGATCTTCAACCGCAAGGGCTTCCAAAGGGAGATACGGCGCAACCCGAGCAGCATCGACAACTTTGTCTTGAGCTTCCTAGGTGCCGACCTGCCCAACCTCATCCCGCTCTCTATTGCAATCACTGCTCAGGGCCTCATCGGTGTCACCGACAACTATGACAACTCTGTGAAGGTTTACACCACTGATGGCCACTGCGTCGCCTGTCACAAGAACCAGCTCATCAAGCCATGGGGAATCGCGGCCATGCCTTCAGGCCAGTTCGTTGTGTCAGATGTAGAGGGGGGAAAGCTGTGGTGCCTTGCCGTGGATCGTAACGTAGGGGTTGTGAATTACAATCGCTTGTGCTCGGCCGTCAGGCCCAAATTTGTAACTTGCGACTCCTCAGGTACAGTTTACTTCACACAGGGCTTGGGTCTAAACATCGAGAATAGACGCAACGAACACCACCTTGAGGGGGGTTTCTCAATTGGGTCGGTGGGAATGGATGGCCAGCTGGGAAAGCAACTCAGCCACTTCTTCTCAGAGACCGAGGACTTCCGATGCATTACCGGCATGTGCGTGGACTCTAATGGAGACTTGATTGTGACAGACAGTGGCCGTAAGGAGATACTACAGTTCCCTAAAGAAGGTGGCTATAATATTCTCATTCAGGAGGGCTTAATATGCCCTGTAGGGGTAGCTGTTACCCAGAAGGGACAACTGCTCGTCTTAGATTGCTGGGACCACTGTGTGAAGGTCTACACTTACTTGCAAAGGAGACGTTCCTCTACATGTTAAGATTGCTGTGTGGACAATTTAGAATACTTTTCACTTTAATTCAATGGCTTCATTATAAATGCGTTTGCTTCTCAGTGATTTCTGACCTGTGGCTTGCAGTGGCCAGGATCAGGCAACTAAGCCGCAACCATTCACCACTGCCATGGAGTAATTGGATGATGACTTATGGGTATTATTATGGATGCTTTGGGCAAATAGATTTCGAAATTTAGCTCAACCGATGGCAATAACTGACAATGTTGTTTTTTATGTGTGCAAATCAGCAAATCTGTGCTGCTGTACAGGCATTAAGATGGTGTTTTGAGTTACTGAGAATGCAATCTTTATATTTGCTATATAAATGATAGCAAAGGAATATTCTTGTTTCGATTCGAGTTAGGCTCAATCAAAAGCATCTGTGGTCTAATGTTGATAATCACTAAAAGACCTCCCCCACCCCCACCCAATAAAAAAGGTTATGGTGAGGCAATTACTATGTAAATGTGAGGCTTATATATAAAAAAAAAAAAAAAATCCTTTTCATCATGGCAACAAAACGTTTGATCATTTCACACACTTTTTTTTCACACTACATTCTTATTAAATAACACTACATTCTTGTTAAGTAATGAATCCATTTTGATTTTAATTGTTTTTTTTTTACTTTATTTATTTTGGGTGGTAATCAACATAATGCTACAAGTGCTGCTGATTGAACTTAAAGGGTTAGTTCACCCAAAAATGAAAATTAGGCTGTGCTTTACTCACCCCCCGAGGCATCCTAGGCATCCTACTTTCTTCTTTCAGATGAATCCACGAATGCGCAACGCCGACCTCATACGTCATCCGCCCAGAACTGCTTCCATTTACAACAGTGAGCACAAGCTAGATTAAATTGATTATTACGTTTTAAATATGGTTATTTTTCTTACAAAAACGCATCAATTCGTTACAGGAGCCGTGTGCGACACTTGTTTTTATGGATGGGAGCTTTTTATTTCACTTATTTTGGAGTGAAGCACTGCAACACCTGATAGAGCTTGGAATAGCCACGTTTTAAATATGGTTATTTTTCTTACAAAAATGCATCAATTCGTTACAGGAGCCGTGTGCGACACTTGTTTTTATGGATGGGAGCTTTTTATTTCACTTATTTTGGAGTGAAGCACTGCAACACCTGATAGAGCTTGGAATAGCCAAGACAATTTTTTATATAACTCAGACTGGATTCGTCTGAAAGAAGAAAGTCATATACACCTAATTTTCATTTTTGGGTGAACTAACCCTTTGACTTGTACTGAACCCAAAATATTCCTTGAACAGGAAGGATTGACATGGAAAATGTGAAACATGCTGACTCAAAACACTTCTGTGTGTGTCATGACTCATGTTCATGTGTAGTTGTTGTGATAAGTTCCCAAAATGCCCTCACTATTAAAGTGCCACTCCATACCTGAAGTCTGTGTCAGTAAAGGATTTTCTGATTTATGTAAAATTATGAATCTTCTATATATTAAAATACAGTTACACTAAAGTACAATACACTTGTAAAATGTTAAGTTATTGTTACTATAGAGATGAGAAGATAATTATCTAAATGATCTCAAAGTTGTCTAATACTGTTAATCGTTTACTTTGAATTGGTTTGTAATGTACTCCAGTTTGTGATAGCATTACTCTGTTGCAGGAACCAAAGGCATGTTAAATTCAGGAGATATTTACTAGCCTATCATCAGAGTAACTGCAATAGTTCAACTGAAGCAGGGAAATGACTCAGCAGTTTACATTCTGTATTACACCGTATATGAAATCATGTTTTGCATTGAAGTGTCCTTGTATCTAAGAGGTGGATCTTTAAACTCTCCTGCTTGAAAGCTTTAAATAGCATTAAACTGTCTTAAAATCTTGCTTATGATATTTGATTTGCACACGGGTCTGTAGGTTCAGAAGTGTGCTGGAGCAGATTAAGGCTATATTCAATATTCACAAAGAAGATTAAAACAGAAGCCTATGATCACAATTCATAACACAACTCAAGTATGCATTGCATTCTCCGGGT